GTCCATCCATGTTGTAGCATCTATGGATACTTCATTATTTTTTATTGCCAAAGAATATTTCATTGTTAAGTAACTGACTTTTTGAGGGACTTGCAAACTATTTTTTGAGACAACTACAACGTTTCTATATTCCTACTTGCGGTATATGAGGATTCCAATTTCTCCACATCCTTAATGAGATGTATTATTGTCTTTTTGATGATAGCCGTTTTATTGGATATGAACAGGTTTCTTATCATGGTTTTAATTTGCGTTTCCCTATTGATATTGAACATCTTTTCATATGGTTAACCATTTGTATGCCTTTGGGGAATGGAACAATTTCTATTTTAAACATAAAGCATCTCTAATTAGGTTGAATGTTCATTAAGAGTGTTAAGAATTATTTTTATATTATCGAATTATGCTCTTGTTTATTAATTTCATTGTCTATATCTATGAGGTACAATGTGCTAATTTGATTCATTCATTCAGTGTGTGATGATTAAATCACATTTTGGTGTCAATTATCCAAGCCTTCTGCTAGCTTCCATTACTGTCACCCTTCCCAGACTCTAGTAATTACTGTTCTGCATTCACATCAACCTTTTTCTTTTAGCTTCTACATATAAGAGAGAACTTGTGGTATTTGTCTGTCTGAATCTGATGTTCCCTTAAACTGATTTCCTCCAGTTCCACCCATTTTGCTGCAAATAAGAGGACAGCACTTTTTTTTGTGGCTGAATAATATCTCTTTGTGTGTTTGTGTGTATATGTTTATGTGTATATATTTTGTTAATCTATTGTTCTGAAAGGAATCTGGATTGATTGTATTCCTTAGCTATTGTGAATAGTGCAGTTGATACAGAAGTACACATGTCTCTTTGATATACTGCTTTCATTTCCGGTCAATAAATATCTAGAAGTGAAATAACTGGATCATAGAGTATATTTGATTTTAGAGAAATTTTCATGCTGTTATCCATTATGAAAGTAATGATTTGCATTTCCACCAACAATGTATAAGGGTTTGTTTTCTTCCATATCCTTACTAGCATTTGTTATTTTTCTTTTTTGGGTTATTTAATTTTTTATTATTTAGAGTTTTTGTTTTTTGAATATTTTCTAAATAGTAATGCTTTCTCAGATAATTTTTTTTTTGATAGGCAAAGTTAGAGAGACAGACAGAAAGGTCTTCCTTCCATTGGTTCACCCCCAAAATGGCTGCTACAGCTGGCGCGCTGTGCCGGTCAGGAGCCAGGTGCTTCCTCCTGGTCTCCCATGTGGGTGCAGGGCCCAAGAACTTGGGCCATCCTCCACTGCCTTCTTGGACCACAGCAGAGAGCTGGACTGGAAGAGGAGCAACCGGGACAGAACCGGTGCCCTAACTGGAACTAGAACCCGGAGCGCCGGCTCTGTAGGTGGAGGAATAGCCTAGTGAGGCATGGTGCTGGCCTTCTCAGATAATTTTCAAAATTTTTTTCTCCTATTTTATAGGTTTGTTGTCACACATTTGATTGTTCCTTTGCAGTATAGAAACATCTTAGCTTTATACAACCCTATGTATTCTTTTTATTATTTGTGTGTATGTGCTTTCGGAATCTTACCCCAAAATTATTATTATTATTTTTTTTTGACAGGCAGAGTGGACAGTGAGAGAGAGAGACAGAGAGAAAGCTCTTCCTTTTGCCGTTGGTTCACCCTCCAATGGCCGCCGCGGCCGGCGCACCGCACTGATCCGATGGCAGGAGCCAGGTACTTATCCTGGTCTCCCATGGGGTGCAGGGCCCAAGTACTCAGGCCATCCTCCACTGCACTCCCTGGCCACAGCAGAGAGCTGGCCTGGAAGAGGGGCAACCAGGACAGAATCCGGCGCCCCGACCGGGACTAGAGCCCGGTGTGCCGGCACCGCAAGGCGGAGGTTTAGCCTAGTGAGCTGCAGCGCCGGCTCTTTCCTAGGTTCTTAAAATGTAAAACTTGGATTATTGACTTGTAGAATTTTTGTAATTTTTAACACAGGATTTTTTTAAAACATGGCTTTAGTAGCATGCCACAAATTTGATACGTTGTGTTTTCATTTTCATTCAGTTCAAAATATTTTCTAATTTTCCTGTGTCATCTTATAATTGTTTTATATTATTTAATTTCTAAATGTTTGACCACTTTCCTGATTTACTTTTGTTATTCTTAATTTAGTTCTCTTTTAATTGGAAAACACATCAAATTACCTACTGAGATTTTGGATGCAGTTGTGCTGAATCTGTAGACAGTTATGGTAGAATTAACATCATAATAACTGAAATTTATCTGAACAAAACAAATTTCTCCCTTATTTAAATCTACTTATTTCTCAGCAGTGTTTTGTAATATTCAGTGTATTGTATTTTGCATCTTTCAGTATATTTATGCCTAGGAATTTTATATTTTAGTGTTGTTTTAGTGAGTATATTTTATTTTTCAAATGCTTATTACTTGTATGTGGAAACACAGTTGTAAAAAAAAAAAAATTTAAAGGGGCAGCATTGCATTGTAGCAGGTAAGGCTGTAATGCCAGCATCCCATATGGGTGCCAGGTCATGTCCTGGCTGCTCCACTTCCTATCCAGCCTGGGAAAAGCAGCAGAATATGGCTCGGGTGTTTGGGCTGTTACCATCCATATGGGAGACCTGAATGAAGCTCCTGGCTACTGGTTTCAGCCTGGCTCTGCCCAGGCTGTTATGACCATCCAGATGTGAAACAGCAGATGGAAGATCGATTTTCTCTGTCTCATTCTCTCTAACTCTGTCAAATATGTGTGAGGCAGGGAGACAGTGCATGTGATAGATAGGGAGGGAAGGCTTCCTCCCATCTACTGATTTACTACTTAAATGCCAGCAATAGCTTTGTCTAGGAACCAAACTGTATCCAAATCTCCCACATGAGTGGCAGGAACCCAATGAGTTGAGCTGTAACTGCTGCCTCTCGGGGTCTGCATTAGCAGGAAGCTAAAATCAGGAGTGGAGCCAGGTACTAAACTAGGCATCTCAACCACTAGGCCAAATACTCACCCCTATTAATTCATTTTTGTATATTTGTCTTATGTCCTACAACCTTGATAAACTTACTTCTTAGTTTAGTTTGAAATTTTTTTTATCATTCTTTTTTACTTCTCTATATAGACTACTACATCTTCTGTGAATGAGGATGATTGTGTTTCCTCTCTCTAATCTAGATGGCATTTATTTATTCTCTCTTTTTTGCCTGATTTCTCTGGCCAAAATTTGCAGTACAATGTTAAAAGAATTAGTGATAGCAGATACCTTTGTTGTATTACTGATATTTAGAAGAAGGTAAGCTCCCTTCTTAAAATAGACTGATGGCTCCTTCTCATGAGTAGTGAATTTATCCATTGCTTTAAAAAAAAAAGATTTATTTATGTATTTATTTGAAAGGCAGACTTACAGAGAGAGTTGGGGAGAGAGAGAGAGAGCGAGAGTAAGCTAGCATGCTTCCATCTGCTGGATCACTCCCCAAATAGCTGTAATGGCTGGAGCTGGGGCAGTCTAAAGCCAAGAGCCCAGAGCTTCTTCTGGATCTCCCATGTGAGTGGCAGGGATCCTAGGACTTGGGTCATCTTCTGCGGCTTTCGCAGGCACATTACCAGGGAGCTGGATCAGAAGTGGAGCAGCCTGGACTTAAACCCATGTCCGTTTGGGATGCCCATGTCGCAGGCAGTGGCTTTACCTGCTGAGCCACAATACCGGCCCTGTCCGTTGCTTTTTTACCATCACTAATGAGATGATCATATGATTTTTTTCTTTTTTAATGTAAACTATGTGAGTCACATTGATTTTTTAAATGTTAAAGCACTTGTACATTTTTTCCAATAAACCTCACATGATTGTGATGTAATACCCTTTTCGTATATTGCTGAATCCAACTTGCTTCTGAAGGCTATTTCAGAATTTTTATCTCTGTATTCATGAGAGAGTGTCATGTAATTTCCTGTTCTTATAGTGTCTCTGGCTAGCCTCTGTGGATAATTAGGGAAACAGAAGTATACTTTTAACATTTCATGAAAAATATAATTAAAAAGTTTATTTTGGAACAAAAAGTTGGAATGCTTTCATCTTTTTTTTCATATATACTTTTCCATGAAATTTTTGAAGATTTTTGTCTCTCCCTTTAAGTTTTCTGGAAGAATTTATGAGGACTAGGTATTATTTATTTCTTAATTGTTATGTAAAATTCACCTGTGAAGCTATTTGGGCCTGAAGTTTGAATTGGTTGGTTTGTTTTGTGGGGAGGTTTTAGCTACATATTGAATTTCTCTAATATGACTACTCAGGTTATTGATTTCTTTTTAATAAGTTTTGGTAGATTATATAATTAGAATTGTTTGTTTCATCTTAAAATTTATAGCTGCATAGTTCTTCATAATATTCCCTTACCCTTTTAACATCTGTTGAATCTGTGCTATTTATAAAAATGAGTGTTGAGTTATTATATTGACCCAGTTTTCAGTGTAATTTTCATGTGTTGATGATGAGAGTGTCACTGAATTTTTCTAAAACTTGACTCCACTTAGATAATACTTCCACATCAGAATTATAAAGTTAAATTAGACTGTATTTGCACATTAAACTCAGTGGCTTTAAAGGGCCTTTTTCATTCAACTTTTGAGTATGAATTCCTTGTCCTCCTGCTGTTCTTTTTTTCCCCTGCTGTGTTTTTATTACCCTGTGTTTTCAAGAGACACATAAGTTCTTCATTTATTATATAAAAATGAGTGTGTGGGTATGTTTGTGCACCTGGATATTGAAATGGACTAATTCCTCTTGGACTCAGTAGTTGTCTGTTTTTTATTAAGAGGAAAATAAGATGAAGACAGGAAAAGAAGATGAAGGAATCAGTTGCAATTCTTATTTCTTACTTCCAGTAAACATTGAACAGATGGGATACCTTTTAAGTGGAACTACTGGTTTAACAATGGTCCTCTGATATGTTTGTTTTGGAATTGTAGAAACTTCTGAACTGAATATCAAAAACCTGTAGGATAGAAACATAGGAATTTTTCATTAGATTGGAATTTTTTTCTAATGATAAGTAGAGATAGCTCTAATTTGTGGCAGGGGTATATTGAGTTGTTTTCTAGCATTTTAGTTAGGAAAACTTTTAAATATAAGGGAATATTCATAGAATAGTAGAGTGAACACTCATAGCCACTATGTATGTTTTACCTTTGATTACTGACATTTGCCCTATTTGCTTCAACTCTATTTATCTAGGTCACTGTGTTTTTACTGAACTATTTAAAGTATATACATAGTTCTTACTCTAACATACTTCAGCATACTCCAAAAAAATGACATGCTCCTTTATAATATAACCTTTATCAAAACTAAGAAAATTAACATGATTTTCTTAGTATCTAATAGCTGTTTATGTGCAAATTGTCCTAATAGTTTTTATATTTCATAGTTGTCAATTTTTCAGCCAGGGTTTATATCAAGATTCATATTAGATATGGTTGTTATGTCTCTTTATCCTTTTGTAAATGCAAATAGACCCTGGAACTTTTTTAACAAAACTCTGTTTCACTAACTTTCAAAGAGTTTTATCAGGCAGATCCAACATAGCTGAATAGCGGATAGCCACAGTAACTTCAGCTGCTCCAGGATACAAAAAGAACAAAGGAAGGACCATGTTTCCAGGGGTCTGACTGACAGAAATTTGTGGTGAAGAAGTAAACAAACAATGAAGCCTGGCCACAGCCAGCCAGGACGTGTAGCCAGGGACTAGCTGTGAGCACCATCTTACCATATCAAGGTAGGAAGATTTTGCCACGTGCCCCAGCACTCACAGTTTTAGGTGAGCGGTAATTCCAGTCAACCCCTGACTTACCTCAGCCTAGGGGAGCTGACTGGAGTCTGAGCAACTGCCAGGCTTGGATCAGAGAAACAGCATTGTTTACCTCCCCTAGGCGTCCCCTGCAGAGCATCATACTTGACAACAAAAAGCCTAACAGCATGCCTCTGTCTCATTCCTACCAGAAGCAGAGTAAGGGCAATTAATGGGGTAAAAGACATCCTCTGCACCCTGCAACTATGGGAGTTTATGGACTTTAGCCCAAGCCTATGCTTACATACTTTTTGTGAGCCAGGGAGTTCACCTTAACTTCTGGGCACTAACACCAGAAGCAACCCATAAAAACATCTGCTCCCACCTTGAGAGATCAGGATAATAATCCCACGATACCCTATAACACCAGAACTAAACAGTTCCAAATTTCTCAGTGCCATGGAGAGCTACCTGGTAGACATAGGGAAGAACCTACCTGCATTCCACCTCTCTGAACTCATACCCTCCAGTATGAACATAGTAAAATCTGTATACCTTATAGTCACTTGTAGGACTGGAGCAGGGTTCAGTTCACATCCCCTAGTCCATGTTAGTGTTATAAGCCATAGTACCAGTTGGACTCCTAGCAGGACCTGTGGAAGAGTCTGTCCATATCACACAGTCCTAGAGCCACAGTAGGTTGTTCCACAATCCTGGGAAAAGGGAACAGACTCCTTTGTCTACCTTAGCACCAAGAAAGCCCTGGCTATCACAATCACCAGGGAGACTGACACCAGACTCTGTTGACCAAAGATACACACTCAAGGAAACCCATATTTATCTCAAAGCCACACTTCTACCCCGATGAACTTCAGCAGACTAGTCCACTGTGTCACAGACACAACTGATGCTAAGTGAGATACCAGAGATCGCTCAGAGACGATTCTCCAGAGCTCACCTAGAACCAAGCCGAAGTAACAAGCCAAGTGATACCCATCATTCCAGCTAAACCATAAACTCTTTTCCAATAAAACCTACTCCATAAAGAAGAAGGGATGATTACACTAGATGTATAGACATCACTTAGGGACACAGGCGACATGAAGAAGCAAGGTAGCATGACATCTCCAAAATAACACAGTTATTCTCCAGAATCAGAATCTGAACTGAAGGAAATCTATGACATAACAGATACAGAATTCAAAATAATGATTATAAGGAAATGGAATGAGATGTAAGAGAATACATATAGATTAAAATAAATGAGGAAATCAGTGGCATGGATGAAAATATTATTAAAGAGATAGAACTCATTAAGAACCAGTTCGAAACTTTGGAGATGAAATCTTCAATCAGTGAAATAAAAAATAAGATTGAGAGCTTTAACAGCAGAATAGACCAAGTGGAAGAAAGAATTTCTGACTTTGAGATAAGACTTTTGAAATAACTCAGATAAAAATAAAGAGAAAAAAATTTTAAAAATGAAGAAAGTATACATGAAATGTGGGATACCATTAAGCAACCCAGTCTTAGTATAATAGGTATTCCTGGAGGAGAAGAAAAGTAAAAAGGCATTGAACCTGTGAAATAAAATAATAACTCAAAATTTTGTTGGTCTTGAACGAACCATGGACATCCAGATACAGGAAGCTCAAAAAAATCTCTGGGAAACTCAACCAGAAAAAGATATTCTCCAAGGCATATTGTACTCAAATTGTCAAAAGCTAAGGACAAGAAAAGAATCCTAAAGACAGTCAGTGTCAAGTTATATATAAAGCAAAACCAATTAGATAACATCAGACTTCTCAGCGGAAATCCTATGGGACAGATGAGAGTGGGATGATATATTCAAGGTCTTGGGAAAAAAAAACTTTGAACCAAGAATATTCTATCAAGAAAAGCTATCCTTTAAAAGTGAAGAAGAAATAAGGTATTTTCCAGATAAGCAAAGACTGAGAAAATTCACCACCAAAACAGAAGTCTGATAAAAAATTCTGATGGGCATCATCCATTAGAGGTAAAAGTCATGAAAAAATATGACACCACCAAATTCACTAAAAGCATAGGTAGAACCAGTATCCAATCAGCAAAATGAGAAATTTTAGTTCTTATCTATCTGTACTAGCCTTGAATGTAAATGGCTTCATTCTTCATCCAAAAGACTTAAGTTGGCTGAATGGATAAAAAACCAAGACTCTACTGTATTCTGCATACATGAAACTCACTTTACAAAGATATACAGAGACTGGAAGTGGAGGGCTTGAAAAAGGTACACCAAGCAAATGGAAACTAAAAAGGAATAGGAATAGATAACCTGATACCAGATAAAATAGACTTTAAATCAAAAACTTTAAAAGGAAATAAAGAACTCATATTTTGATAAAAGGTTCAACTCAGCAAGAAGACAGAACAGTCATATATATATACCCAAGACCATCCAGATATATATAGCAAATACTATTAGACCTAAATGGAGAGAGAGATTCCAATACAGTAATAGTGTGTGATTTCAACATACCACTCTCATGAATGAACAGATCATCTGGATGGAAAATCAATAGTTATGTTGGAATTGAAACATACTATCAAGCAAATGCACCTAATAGACATTCACAGGACAGTTCACCCATCAGCTATAGAGTACACATTCTTCTCATCAACACATGGAACATTTTCTGGTGTAGACCACATGTTAGTCCACAAATCAAGTCTCAGCAAATTTAAAAAGATTGAAATCATACCATACATCTTCTCAGACTATAAAGGAATAAAACTAGAAGCCAACAAGAACAACAATAAAGCACTCCTAAATACTTGCTGAATATTTGCTACTAAATGATCAGTGGGTCATTGAAGAAATTAAAAAGGAAATAAAAAACTTTTGAAGTAAATGAAAATGAAAACACAGAACATCAAAACCTGTGGGATGCAGCAAAAGCAGTATTAACAGAGAAGTTTGTAGCATTAAGTGCTTACATTAAAAAAAAATTTCCTCAAAAATGAAATGACACATCTCGAAGACAGAAAAACAGGAACAAGCCAAACCCCAAATCAGCAGGAGGCAAGAGATAATAAGGATCAGAGCAGAAATGAATGAAATCAAAACTAAAAAAAAAAAAAATACAAAACATCAACAAAAAAGTTGGATTTTTGAGAAGACAAGCAAAATAGATAAAACTCTAGCCAGACTAACAGGAAAAAGGCAAAAACTCAAATACAATTAGAGTTGAGAAAAGAGACATTATAACTGAAACCACTGAAATACAAAGGATCATAAGAAACTACTATGAAGAACTATATGTTAATAAACCAGAAAACCTTGAAGAAATGGATTAACTCTTGGATAAATAAAACCTATTTGGATTAACTCGAGACGATATAGACTACCTAAACAGACCCATACCAAGCAATGACATTGAAACAGTAATCAAGTTTTTGATGCAGGAAAAGTCTAGGGCCTGATGGCTTTACTACTGAATTCTAGAAAATATTCAAAGAGAAAGTAACTCTGTTTCCCTTCAAACTATTCCAAAATAGTGAACAGGATGGAACTCTGCCAAACACTTTTTATGAGGCCAGCATTACTTTGATACCAAAACTGAACAAGGACACAGCCCAAAAACTACAGACCTACATCCTTAAAGAAAATAGATGCAAAGATTCTCAACAAAACACTAGCCAATCTAATCCAAAAGCATATCAGAAAGATCACACATCAAGACCAAGTGGGATTTACCTCAGAAATGCAAAGGTGGTTCAATCAATAAATGTTATAAATCACATCAGTAGAATGAAGAACAAAAACCATATGGTCAACTCAGTAGATGCAAAAAAGCACTTGATAAGCTTCAACACCCCTTCTTGATAAAAAACTTTATACAAATTAGGTGTAGAAGGAACACACCTCCAAATTATAAAGGCTGTATATCACAGACTAACAGCCAATGTCATAAATGGGGAGAAGCTGAAAGCATTTCCCATCAGATCTGGAACAAGACTTTCGCCACTCTTATTCAATATAGTACTGGAAGCTTTAGCAAAAGTAATTAGGGAGGAGAAAGAAATAAAGGGAATCAAAATTGGAAAAGAGGAAGTCATGTTTGCAGATGACATGATATTATACATGGAAAAACTTAAATACTCCACCAAAATGCATTTACAACTGATGAACCAATTCAGTAAAGTTGCAGGTTACAAAATAAACATATAGAAAACATTAGCTTTTTTGTATGCTAATGATAAACTTACAGAAAGAAATCAAGGAAGAAATCTCATTAATAAATGCCACATAAAAAATCAAATATTTAGGAATAAATTCAACCAAAGAAGTGAATATCTCCACAATGAATATTATCAAACATTGATGAAAGAAATCATCAAAGACACAGGAAAAAATGGAAAGATAGTCTTTGCTCATGGGATGAAGAATCAATATCATTAAAATGTATATACCACCTAAAGCAATCTACAGGTTCAGTGCAATCGCTATCAAAATACCAGTGATGTTCTTGACAGAATTAGAAAAAATGATCCTAAAATTCATATGGAACCACAAGAGCAAGAAAAGTCAAGCTGGAGGCATCACAATACCTGACTTCAAAATGTACTACAAAGCTACAGTAATTAAACCAGCATGGTATTGGCATGAAAAACAATGCATAGAACAGAATAGAGAGCCCAGAAATTAATCCGCATACATTTGGCCAACTGATTTTTATTTTGAAAAAATGCTCAGACCATATAGTAAAGAATAATCTCTTCAACAAATTGTGCAGGCAAAATTATATAAAATTAGAGGGGCTGGTTCTCTGGTGCAGCAAGTAAAGCTGCTGCCCATGTCACTGCATCCTGTACGGGCACTGGTTCTAGTCCCAGCTGCTCCACTTCTGATCCAGCTCCCTGCTAATGCACCTGGGAAAGCAGTGAGGGATGGTCCCACCCCTTGGCTCCTGCATCGACATGGGAGACCCAGAAGAAGCTCCTATTTCTGTTCACCCCAGTTCCAGCCATTGCAGCCATTTGGAGAACCCCCTGCAGATAAAGGGTGTCTCTCTAGCTTCCTTCCTCCCTCCATCAGTGTGTGTTTATGTGTGGGTGTAACCTTCCTTTCAAATAAATAAATCTTAAAAAAAGAATGAAATTAGATCCATAACTATGTACAAAGATCAACTCATGAAGGAGTTTTAAGACATAAACTTAAGACCTGAGACTATGAAGTTGCTGGAAGATAATGCAGTGAACACATTTAAGATACTGGTGTAGAGGACAGTCTCTTGGGCAAGACCCCCAAAGCACAGGCAAAACCAAACTAAACAGATCGGACTGTGTCGAACTTAGAAGCCTCTGCACAGCAAAGGAGACAATCAGTAGAGTGAAGAGACACCCAACAGAATGGGAAAAAATATTTGTAAGCTACATACCTGACATAGGATTAATATAAAAATATAAACAACTTAAACTCAGCCAAAAAAAATTCCATTAAAGAAATGGGCAAAGGACCTCAATGGACAGTTCCTAGAAGAAATGCAAATAGCCAACAAATATATGAAAAAATGCTCAGCTCAACATCACTAGCCACAATGACATATAACCTCATCCCGTCACAGTGGCTAAAGTCCAAAACACAGAGAAACAAATGCTGGTGAAGGTGTGGAGAAAGAGGAATACTTAACACGCTGTTGATAGGAATGTAAATTAATGCAGCCACTGTGGAAAACAGTATAGAGATTTCTTAAAAAACTAGAAATAGACTTGCCATAAAATCCATCAATTCCACTACTGGATACATACCCAAAGGACATGAACATGTACCACCATGTTTACAGCACACTGTTTACAGTAGCCAAGATATGGAATCAACTAAGGTGTCCATCACCAGATGAATGGATAAAGAAATTGTGGTGTATATATACACAATGGAGTATTATTCATGTATAAGAAAGAATGAAATTCTGTCAGTTGTGTCAAAATGGTTGTAACTGGAGGACATCACATTGAGGGAAATAAGCCTGACACAGACAAATGCCACATGTTCTCCCTTACATGTGGGAGCTAAACTTTTAAAAAAAAAATTGGAATGGAAAAGAAGGGATGGGAGAAGGGCTTGTGTGTATCAGTATTGCTGCAAATATATTTTTTATACACCTTTGTTATACCTTTGTCAAACCATTGGTTAAGAAAGTTTAAAGAAGTTATACTACTATAGTTTTAATGATTTGTGATTACTTTAAAACTTGCCTATATGGATGAAATGATCATTTTTCCATTCAATTACTGTTTATAGCTGTTGTCTATTCTCTCACTAAACTAGATCTTACTGCTTTTTACTGGTTAAACTTCTTAGCTGATGAAGCATTACGCCTTTTACTCTAATGCAAATTTAAAAGCTGTTATCTCAAAACTTTGAAAAAAGAGAGGGAAGAAGAGTGAGGGAGGGTAGGAGGGAAAGGGGAAGGGAGAAAGGGATTATCATTACATTCTTAGAATTGTATCTACAAACTGTATTGAATCTGTTAAAAACTAATTAAATATTAAAATAAAAAATACTAAGAGACTGGTCTTAAAAACCTGGATTTGGCTATAGAATAGCTAACATATTAGTTATCCATTTGTGCATAACAAATTATTCTAAACCTGACAGCTTAAAACATTGATTGTTTCTATAATTTCTGAGGAGACATCTAGAAGGTGTCAGCTGACACTGTAGTTGACTGAAGGTTTGACGGAGGCAGAAGGAGCTGCCAGGAAGGCTTTACTCAGGGGGCTGTTGGAAAGAGGATTCATCTTTATCACGGGGGTCTTCCTGTCAAGTTGTTAACAACATAGCAGCCCACAGTAAGTAAACTAAAGCACCACAAAGGTGCCTCACACCTCACCAAAGACGAAAGCTCGAGCCTCTATCATAACCTCACCTGGGAAGTGACATACTGTCACCTCTAGCATAGTCTTTTGGTCACTAGAACAAACACTGGTATGATATTGGTAAGGAATACATAAGCACCTGAGTACCACCAGGCAGATACCATTGGCACATTGACTACCGCAAACCACATTCTAGGTTTGTGTAGTGTTTCCTTGTATGGTTATTTAACTTGTTTTATTTCGTTCACATTTTTTATAAACTAGAAACTTTGTCTACAACCTCGATGTTATTAATATCTCGAAGAATGCTGTAAAGATGACATACTCTAATTCACTTTAGGAGTAACATATCAGGTTGTCCCACTTAACTAAGATGACCTGATACCTTTGTTTTAAAAATATTTCCTTTTTCTCTTTACAATTAAGTATACTCTGTGAACTGATACTTTGACAGCTGCCAAATATCCTGTTATTTGGGCAAGAATTTGATTTTTATGTGATCTTTACTCTCTGCAACTAACTTTTCTTTTTTGTGCATTTGCTGTGTCCCTAAGAGTTTTAAACACATGTCTTCTTTTTTAACTCCAATAGTTTATGAGATACATATGCTTAATTGTCTCCATTAAAATTGAGAAAAAAAATAGATTCAGGAACTTTAAAGGTTAAGATATACAACTTAGTGACAGAATCAGAACTTTTAAAAAAGATTTATGTATTTATTTGTAAAGCAGAGTTGGAGAGAGAGAGATGGAGATCCTCATCTTCCATCTGCTTGTTCACTCCCGAGATGGCTGCGATGGCTGAGGCTGAGCCAAACTAAAGCCAGGAGCCTGTGACTCCATCTGGGTCTCCCATATGGGTGGCAGGGGTCCGCTCGGGCCATCTTCCACTGCCTTCCCAGGCAATTTAAGCAGGGAGCTGGGTCAGAAGTAGAGAGGCTGGGAATCAAACCAGTGATCATCTACAATGTTGGTGTCCCAGGTGGCAGCTTATCTTGCTGCACAACAATGCTAACCCCAGAACCTGGATTTGAAGTCATGTTTGACTGCTAAACCTATGCTATTAACTATACTGCCTATAGAAAGAAGGGGAAACTTCTGTGAGGAACTTTCCACATAGCATAAAAGGAAAGTCTCTTGCAAATATAGGTAGGAACCCAGGAATACAAAGAATAAGCTATTGAAGCTGATATCTGTGATTTGGTTACATGACATAACAGGCAAAATTCACTAGGTTACAAACAGAATCATATCTAAAATACTATAGGCAGATAAGATACTGTATTACTTTAAAACTTTCAATAAGTTATTATCCTATTCTTTGAGATATCATTCCTTGGCAAGAAAAAAAATTGTCTAGTCTATAGATGCAATTTTATTATAAAATTACATAAGCAAAGGGTTTTCAAAAATTTGGTTGAAAATGTATAATAAAACTGCATAGATTTAAAAATGTACCTTTTAATTGTTTTTCCATGAACATTTTAAAACACCTTCATGTGATGCATAATTGTTATAATTATTACCTAAAGTTAATATTAAGTAAATATTTAAATTATTCTAGGTAGAATTTTTATTGGTGAGGATTGTGGAATGGTGGAATGAGTAAAAAAAAAATGTGCTTCAGTGGGAAAGGAAAAAGAATCAGTTAAACTTTGTATGATTAGATCGCTCAAGCAATACTGAGAATACTTGTATTTTCTATAATGATGAAAGTATTATGTGACCAGAACTCACTATACTGAACATGCAACTTTAAAGGGTAGTTAGGAATTCCACTAGAACTTAAGATTCCTTTATTGTGTCTCTTCATTTCAGATGCAGATATCCCTCTCTTCATACTAAAGCAATTGTATAGATTTTTTTTTCCACCAGCCTTTTTATTTTATGAATGAGAAGTCTTAGATTGTGTGTCTAAGGTTACATGGCAAGGGAGATTCAAGTTAATAGTTAATTTCTGAGCAATAGTAGGGCAATTCCCGTACCTCTTTGGGATTATTAAGTGTCTGGAGATCTGCTGCCCGTTCTGGTAGTACGAGCCAAAAGCAAACAATAAACAACAGCAACCTGAATCTTGGGTGTGACAGGCATGGACCAAACTTTCATTCTGTGTTCAGGAAAAGAAGTCATTGCTGAATGAGAAATCTTGTTTCACTGTATTTGTATTGTGTGAATTTAACTCCTTCCTATAAATAAGAATGATTTTTCAGCCTATGCCTTTTTTATCTGCTTTCTCTCCCACATAGAGGCAGTGGAACAGATTAAATTAGTAATTCCTTGCACTTGCCAGGCCTAAATTGTTACTTACTGTTTCCCAGTAGGAGGGTCTTTCTTGAGAACTACTTTTAAATATATATTCTAGGTTTTGTGGCAATAAGGAGAAAGAAACTATATAATAGCTTAAAGAAGTATAGGGTTGGTCTTAAGAAAACATTTTTTTCCTAAAGCAAGTGACCCTTGAGGCTTCTTCGGATTTCTAGAAAAATCCCAAATGACCAGTGATACAAAGGATATGTGGTGCTGCTGCTCTGTGATGGAGAACCATTGCTACCAGTGTAACAGCTATTGTGTATAGAGCACAGGTGTGTTCCAGATGTGCTTAGCTAAGTGCCTTACTTGTATTATCTTATTTAATCCACACAATAACTCTGAGAGATAGACATTAATATTTCCAGTTGAAAGAATGGTTAAATGTAATTTAAAGGGCTTACCCAAATATCCAAAATAACAGTAGTCTTGATGTGGCAGAGAAACTTTCTAAATTAGATCTGACTCCTAAATGTGTGCTCTTAATTCCCATCTTTCCTCAAATTTTAGATCTAAATATTCTGAAGATTTACTTCCCTCTCTTTGTCTTGAATGTACTTTCCCTCTGCTACTCTACTTAGATAATACTAAAAGTTCAGTTCTGCTTATGCCTTCTGATGCTTTTCTTGGCCAGATATTTCTGTCTTCCCTCTCCAAGCTCCTTACTCTTCATATTGACTCAGCATCATTATTTTCACTTAAGCTATGTTAAATCTCCCTTACCACACATGTATCATAATCATTTCTTTAAAAGTTTGTCTATCTGAATGGCTAGTGACTACCTCATAGCCAGCTTTGGTTTTCTTATTCTCTTTTCCTCACAGCCTATATTTATATTTCCCTTCTATGATATTTTCAGAAGCTTAGAAATTTAAAGCTGAAATAGACTTAACAACAAAAATAAATGATATAGCTCACCAACTTAAAGGACCAGGGTTGAAAAAATATTAGATGTATGATAAGTGCTTCTTTCCTTAATAAAATTAAGTCTCAGTCCTATCCTAACAATGAGCAAAGGCCAAATAATCTTCAAAATTTTAGCATTTCTTGAATCAGTTATACAAAACAACCAAGTTAACTAAATTTCACAGAGTCATAAGCCCCTCTGAAGACATGACACATAAACGGTTTTGCCTTTGGAAGAGCATGGAAAGAAGAGATGGTCTTCATTATAGCAGGTAAAAAAATAATTGAAAGTTTAATGCATTTCTTGAAAGCACTAGATGTGGGCTAAAGTATCAATTGAAAGTAACTGGGATCCCCAGAACACAAGTTTACGTTCCTGTATAGACTTCTTTTCCATGGGCCTCCACTGGTTTTCTCACAGATGGGGGAAAAATGTTGAGGATGGTCCAAGAGATGGAAGAGAGCCCACCTTAGTAACTAGGCTTGCAAAAGTGCAATGACTGCCTCTGGGAAACAGGCATGAAATCATTGGTTTCTTCAGACTTTTTTTTTACACTAAGCAAAGCCTTGAACTACAAAGGTAGGAACAACAGACCCTCTCATCTGCAGGGTCCATGCAAAGTTCCATTACTTCCTGAGAAGAAGAAGAAGCCTGCCTGATGGAGAGGGAACTGATGCTGTCACCCGCAGGACTCAAGCATCCAGTTACCCATTGCTTTTGGGAAGGAGTAGAAGTAAAGGCCCAGGCCAGCGCTGTGGCATAGCAGGTAAAGCCACCGCCTGCAGTGCCAGCATCCATATGGGTGCTGGTTCGAGTCCTGGCTGCTCCACTTCCAGTCCAGCTCTCTGCTATGGCCTGGGAAATCAGTGGAAGATGGCCCGAGTCCTTGGCCCCCTGCACCTGCATGGGAGACCCGAAGAAGATCCTGGCTCCTGGCTTCGGATCAGCCCAGTTCTGGCAGTTGCAGCCATTTGGGGGGTGAACCAGCTGATGGAAGACATCTCTCTTTCTCTCTCTCTCTGTCTGTCTCTGTCCCTGCCTCTCTGTAACTCTTTCAAGTAAAATAAATAAATCTTTAAAAAAAAAAAAAAAGGAAAGGCCTGACTGTCTATAAGCTTCCCCAGGACTCTGGCCACTACAAAGGGAAAGCTGAAAAATGTTCTTCTCAAGAGCTGCCAGGGATTTAAGGCAAAGTTTGGCAGTCATGGGGTTGAGGATGGACAGAAATATAAGATCCTGCCTCAGAAGCCCAGGGGCATAGCCTGTGTCCAAAAGTGAGATAGACTAGAAAAACGGAGGATCTCAGATATCTCCACAAGAAGCCTAACAAATTGCAGTCTACTGCTGGGGAAGAGCAAGAATGGGTGAGATACCTCCCCCAGTAGTGACAGCATTCAGGAACTGCCAAAAGTGAAAATGGAACAGAAACAGAAAAACTTTGAAGCATCCAAGGCCTCACCTAAACAAGGTGACAGTAGCCTGTCACTGGAAAGATTTGAAGCCCATATTGTGTTGGGGTGAAAGACAGCAACAACAAAACCCAACTTCAGCTGCTTACTACATTGGCTCAACAACCTCTCATACTAACAGCCTAATTGAAGACAATATATGACTATTTCCATAAGAATACTATCATCTACATCTGTATTATTCTCTGAGTATCCAGCATTTAATAAAAAAGTCACAGCATTCTAAAAAAAAAAATGGAAAAAATTCACTATTGAAAGATAAAGCAACCAGGCTGCAAGCTGAACCGGAAGTTGGAACTATCATGGCATTAAAACACATTTTACATAAAGGATCTAGTAGAAAAGGTTGATAGTGTTCACCAACAGATGGGATATTTTAGCAGAGAGGTGGTAATTTAGTGACTCATGTGGAAATGTTGTAGATCAACACAATATCAGAGATGAAGCATTCTTTCAACTGGCTTATCAGAAGACTTAACACAGCTTAAAAGGATCAGTAACCATGAAATATCAGCAAATAGAAATTTTACAGAGGGAAAAAATGTAAAGCATCCAGATCTGAATAACTACCAAAATGTCTCATATACTTGTATATGTAATTGGGATTCCAGAATAAAGAAGGGAAAAATGGAGGAGAAAAAATATTTTAAGATATAATGACCAAGAACTTTTCAAAATTAATGAAGCTCAGAGTTTCAAGCACAGTAAAACCCAAATGCATCAATGCTGGCAATGGACGGAGAGTCTTCAGGTAAGGAAAGATGGATGGAACTCTCAATTCAGTTTTCATCTTTTGACTTCCTTATAGTCCCCATACCTACTGTTTAACATTGTGGCCCGACTGTAGACAAAGGAATTCTTAGTGCTAGGCATCACCACCATGGCAGACTAGATGGGATCAGACACAAAACATGAAACTGCATTTCTCAATGTATATTCAGGGTAAGTAGAAACCATTACTACTAAAAAAAAAAAAAAAAAGAAAAAAAAAGAAACCATTAACCATTACTACTATTAGATATTTAGTTGGCAGGAAGAAGGATTTTTTTTAAATTAAATTTCATTATGTATACCAACATATAAAAGCTCTGAAAAATGAGAAGTAAATGTTTCAATGTGGTGTTGCCCTCGAGTTCTGTTTTCTAAATGCAGATTGAGTATCCCTTATCCAAAAGTGTTCAGATCTCAGGTTTTTTTTTTTTTAATTTTGGAGTATTTGCATATATATAAGGAAATACCTTGGGGATGGGACACAACTCAAAAAATTCACTTATGCTTTATATATACTTTATACACATATCATGAAGGTAATTTTATGCAGCATTTTTAGTGTGCCTGTATTTTACCTGTGACCCATCACATGAGATCAGATGTAGAGTTTTCCATTTGTGGTATCATGTTGGTATTCAAAAAGTTACGATTTTGGAGCATTTTTGAGTTTGGATTACAGATCTTCAACCTATATTATGCCACCACAGAATGAGAACTGTAGAAGAAGTAAGTGTTTTGGCTATCTCCTTTTCTCATTGCCCAGCAGTTGGCTCATTTAGTCAACAAATGTTTAAGTGACAGCTAGGTATCTGGCACTTCTCTAGGCTTATGCATGTATAGCTGTAAGGCTGCTGCTTTCCTGGAGCTTTTACCTTCTGGGGTGGGGGTGAGTTACGCATAGCAAAACACACAAACAACAGAGTATTAGAAAGTGGTATCTAATATGAGAAAATAAAACAAGGCAATTAGAAGGTGACTAAGTTAGGATAGTTAGGAAAGGCCTCCCAGATGTAAGATAACTATTAACATGCCTCAAAAGATACCATCACTTACCCTTAGAAAACATGATTTATGAAGTAGAACTGACTCTTTCTTCCCTTTCTCAGTCATTCCATTGCCAACTCCAAGGAACTTCACTCTTACAAGCACCAGATTAAGAATTAAGAGGTGACAGACCCTTGGTCACGGACCCTATGATATCTGCTACCTTCAAAGGAAACCATGACTGTCTATAAAAAGGTTGTGGGGAGCAACTTGGACTAGACTAAGTTACTGGAATTAAGACTTATTCTATGCATCTGCTTTCCCACAATATGGCGCTGAGAAGGGAAACAGCTTCTACACAGCTGCCTCCAGTTCAACCAATAAACTGTGGGACCTGCTCCTGATTGGAGGAGAGCAGCGTACTCGGCGTGTGGGCAGCCGAGTTAGGATTGGCGGAGGAGGACTATAAAGGAGGAGAGAGACGGCATGCACCAGGAACATCTAAGGGGAACATCTAAGGGGAACACCTGTGCAGCCCCCGAGAGAGCCGGCCGGCGGTGTGCCGCTCCCCCGCGGAAGTGGGGAATGTGGCAGGGGGAACCGCCCTTCCACGGAGGTGGAAGGGACGGTAGCCAACCCAGGAAGAACCAGCAGCAAACCCGGGGAGGGCCGAGCAGACGAAAGAACAGCGCAGGGTCCTGTGTCGTTCCTCCACGAAGACGGGGAGTGACAAAGGTCTTTATAAGACTATAACAAGATAAACATTCATGATTTTAATTCATTTAGCAAATATTTATTGAGTATATCTAATGACCAGGTGTTTCTGGGAGTGCAGCAGTGAACAAGATGGACAAAATTCTTGGACTCGTGGAACATATGTGAATGTTCCAACCCAAAACATATTAATCCTACCTGTAATTCACATGTAGTTCTCTCATTCTTCCCCACTCCATATTTCACTGCTAGTAATTCATTAATAAGCTAGAATTACATCTCCTTTCTATTTCATTTTAGTGTAATTTTTTTTGTTATAAGATGATGAATCTTCCTGCTTATACTTCTAATTGCTACCACCTTTTTTAAAGTTTTCTGTACTCTAATGATTTCATATTGTCTTGCCTTGTCTCATTGTAAGCTCCGTGAAGTCAGGAACCCTGATTCTCTTCTTCTAATGTTGTGCACACATTAAGCTCTGGTTCTAGAAGAGAAAGTTGCTCTTCATCCCTCTTTCGTTTTGTTCTCTTTGAGAAAGTTGTCTATTTAGTTTCCTGGCTTTAAAAAAAATAAGAGAATGAATGAATGGAGTGGTATTTGACCTAGCAGTTAAGATGCCAGCTGGGCTGCTTCCATCCCATAACAGAGTTCCTAGGTTAGAGTCCAAGCTGTGCTCTCCATTATGTGTACCTGGGTTGCAACAATGATGACTCTACTAGTTGGGTGTTGGCCCCCATGTGGGAGACTTGGATATAGTTCCTGACTCCAGCTTTGGCTAACCCTAGCCCCAGCTATTGCAAGTATTTGAGGAGTGAACTAGAAAATAAGAGTAGCATCTCTCTCCAAATCTAAAATAAATGAATGAATGAATGAATAAATAACTATAAATTGTAAGGTCACCCGAAACACACCAAACACCAGAGTTAAAGGAAAGATTTATTGTTGGGTGGGGGGAAGTCTGACAGGCTGAAGGGAGAGGGAGAGGGCACAAAAGAGGGAGGAACCAAGAAAGAGGTCAAGAGAGAGACAGCACAGGTCCTGTTATACTCTTGCAGGGGCTAGGGAAGTGGGAGCAATGAATCCCATTAGGGTGGATGTGGAGCTGATGTTTGTGGTTGGGCCATTTGGTCACCTGACTTCTAGCAAGCCAGGCTGGGCTTAGGACTAAAGCTTACTGTGCAAGATGGTGACAGGGGCCAGAGCCTAAGATGGTGCCCAGAGCTTAAGGTGGCACCACAGATAAAATGGCACCGTTTTACTAACATAAATGATTAATAAAAAGAGGTTAGATAGCTCAAATGTAAGTAATTTTACTATGTTTTTGTGGAATTTTGTCTCTAAGTATTCAGCATTGAGGTTAAAGAATAGGCTTTTTCTGAAGAATAATAATAAAACTTCCATTGGAATTTGATTGTGTTCTGCCAAAGGATTTATTCTCAAACTTCTCCGAATCCCTAGATTCAGAAACTTATGGAATTTATGTAGAATATAATTTTATTAGAAGTAATAGAAATAGTACAGCACTTACCTACTATCCTCTATTTCCAGGGAGGCCACTATGACAGCATTTTGCTTTATCACTTAGGCTGAGTAGTCAGAAAAAGCACCTGATAGCTTTGCACTAAAATTGTCAAAGTCTGGAAATAAATTAACCACATGTGTGTTTGCTCAGCTCCACCAACACAGATGCAGTGCGTGCTTTCAGCATTGTTGAGGCAATGTCGTCATTTTAGCTATGTGAAAACTGCCTTAAAATGTGGTTTGAGTTAAAGGGAGCTGTCAATTTTTATTTTGTCTAGCTTTTAATATGTAGATTTCACACTTTAACATGCATCAGCAGCCATTTAAAAGTACTCCCTTGTTAGTAGCATTATATAAAAGCTTTGAATAAAATACAAGGCATACTTAACATTAACTTACGATCACTGTGATCTCCTAGAAAATACAAATGTGAGAGAAAAGGTTTTGAAAAGTGATCAAAAGACTTTCAGTGTGATGATTTTACTATGATGGTTCTCCATGACTGGTACTCAATGAATAAACACCTAAAAGTTTCTTGTTTTTCCTTAGTTCATTTTGGTTTAAATTCAGCAAACATTTGTTGAGTATATGCTAGGCTTTGTATTTTCTACAGAGCAAATTTGAAAGATATGTCCTCACATTGGGGTTTAGAATTCTAAAACCAGGCTGGGCATCCTAGTACATAGTTTTGAACATATGTACACAGCTGAAGTCTTTGAGAGGGGTGAGTCTAAATTAGAATTTGTTGGCTTGGGTAAGAGAGTTGGCTTAGGTTATTTCTGATAGGTTTTAGCTTTTTCTCACTTTTCAGAATGCTCTGATCCCTTAAGAAAAGTCATATCACTATAAATTACTTGAATTCAAATACTCATCTTTTTGGAATTCTCTTGTACTTTTTTAATTTGTATTTATAAGAACTAATAGAGGCTGGCACCGCGGTTCACTAGGCTAATCCTCCGCTTGCGGCGCCGGCACACCGGGTTCTAGTCCCGGTCGGGGCGCCGGATTCTGTCCCGGTTGCCCCTCTTCCAGGCCAGCTCTCTGCTGTGGCCCGGGAGTGCAGTGGAGGATGGCCCAAGTGCTTGGGCCCTGCACCCCATGGGAGACCAGGAGAAGCACATGGCTCCTGCCTTCGGATCAGCGCAAGGCGCCGGCCGTGGCGGCCATTGGAGGGTGAACCAATGGCAAAGGAAGACCTTCCTCTCTGCTCTCTCTCTCTCTCTGTCCACTCTGCCTGTCAAAAAATTTAAAAAAAAAAAAAAAAAACTAATAGAAAATCATTCCAGAAATAGAGTGGCATGCAGGTAATGCACAGTTACAATCATTTTTTTTTCTTTTTTTTTTTTTAACTTTTATTTAGTAAATATAAATTTCCAAAGTAGAGCTTATGGATTACAATGGCTCCCCCCCCATAACTTCCCTCCCACCCGCAACCCTTCCCCTTTCCCTCCCCCTCCCCACTTCCATTCACATCAAGATTCATTTTCAATTCTCTTTATATACAGAAGATCAGTTTAGCATATATTAAAGATTTCACTAGTTTGCACCCACATAGAAACACAAAGTGAAAAATACTGTTCGAGTACTAGTTATAGCATTAAATCACAATGTAGAGTACATTAAGGACAGAGAACCTACATGAGGAGTAAGTGCACAGTGACTCCTGTTGTTGACTTAACAAATTGACACTCTTGTTTATGGCATCAGTAATCACCCTAGGCTCTTGTCATGAGTTGCCAAGGCTATGGAAGCCTTTTGAGTTCACCAACTCTGATCATATTTAGACAAGGCCACGGTCAAAGTGGAAGTTCTCTCCTCCCTTCAGAGAAAGGTACCTCCTTCTTTGAAGACCTGTTCTTTTCACTGGGATCTCACTCGCAGAGATCTTTCATTTAGGGTGTTTTTTGTTGTGTTGTTTTTTTTTTTTTTTTTCCAGAGTGTTTTGGCTTTCCATGCCTGAAATACTCTCATGGGCTTTTCAGCCAGATCGGAATGCCTTTAGGGC